CCTGGTATATACTGCTGCTATTCTGATCGAGGAGCGTTTCACCCCAGTTGCAGGTGTAGATCAGACTAAAAATTCCGTATCTTTATTACCTCTTTCGACATGAATGGCTCAAATTGAAATGAAAACTTTATATTGGCGCTAACGCAAATTATATGAAAAATTTTGACTTATTTACTTATCTTTGCTTGAACCATGAAACGCATTCGTGACAGGAGAATATAAATATTGATATTCTACTGTTCGTGATTATTTTGCGTATGTTACGCCCAAACCGCAAACAAAGATGATAAGTTTTGCATGTTAAAGTCTAATTAGATATCCAGGTTTATTCAATGACCTGCCCATATAACTCACTAGAAGGTCTCAATGCCGCGATAAACCGTTAGCCGTAAAAAGGGCAACAAAAAAGACCCAGCCGTTAGACTTAAAAATTGATATAACAATATTACAGAGCCTTGAGGGGGGGATATAGTTAAACTTTATCGTGACACACCAAAATCCTCTCCCCCCGCCTCCCAACCCAGGTGATAAATAAAATATGTCCCTGAGTTTCATGAAATTTCATAAAAATTCCCAAAATCGGGCCAAGTTATTCAAGAGTTACATATATTTCGGTTTGAGCATTGGGCAAAGAATAAGGAAATGAAAGAAAGAAGTCTACATTTCAACCCCTAAAGCACAGTTCGTATCTTTATTTCTCGGCGAATGGTGAACTACTGATCCTCGCCGTTGTTTAAAAATAATTGTGAAGTCGTTGCGCTAAGCCAGTATCAATGAGATCGCGTTTCGAGCCCTTCCGAAACCTGAAGTCTCTTCACTGGTTTTTCCTTGATGTGCGATTTTGGTAATTGCAATTTACTATTGAGGAGCAATTTGCCATGCATCATAAATACGTTAAATTACGATTCTTTTCATACATTTGGCGATCAATTTTCTTTCTGGGAACAAAGAACTCGCTCATTATTTGTCAGAAATGGTTCAAGCCCTTCTTCCAAATCTAAATTATTCTGGCAGGTCCAACTTTCTGCTATTGCTTCAAAAGCATTGAACCGTTAAGGATCAAAATTGGTTTTTGTCCGCGTCAATTTTGCACGGGGGAAAAACATCTTCAGCAAATGAATTGAATGTCACTGTGATAAATTTCCCTGGCGCAAATATATTATCAACAATTATTACATTGAAACTATGAATTCTCATTTTAATTCTGGCTTGCAGCCTTATTTCTTTAAATTTGGAAATTCCAACAAACGCCTCACTGGCATTTTTCAACTCAGCTGAACAACACAAACCAACCCAACACTCCTCTGCATACGCATAATCAGTTAAAATACAGCATCAGATCTAACGACAACCAAGTAGTAAACGTAAACAACTTTGTTTAATTAGTTCAACAAGAAAAAAAGAAAGAGATTTTCACATTGGTGTAAAACATTTGACCAAAACGATCAGTGTAGTCACTAACGACACAAACATTATAGTTTGTTTACATCTCAAAAAACAGGAAAAATATTACTCAGAAGTTAATTAACTGAATAAAGAGGAATAACATGCACAGTTGGTTTTCCACAGTGCCGCCAGATGAAATCACTAAACTTCATCAAGAAGTCAGCCAAACGTTTTAACGATTTTAAGCTGCTCCCATCATTCAAGGTCATCCATCTGGAACAAACAGCTGATTCGAACTGAAACAAAACATATTCAGATGAATAACTGATTGGATAAATCAGTAAAATTAATCAATAGTGTTAGTCCAGATTTGAGAATCAGTAAAAAATAATCTGATTGTCCTCAATGATCTATAAAAAATTATCATGAAAAATGTGCTCACATGTTTTCAAAAATAGCCAAAGTTTTTCCATACTTTGTACCAGAAATGTATTTGTACATCAAGTTCAAGGTTGCTCAACGAAGTAACACTGAATTTATTGGCATGGACAACATTGAAAGAAGCTCCTTATCAAGGCAACAGTATATGTTGCTAGCATTTAACTCCCAATATCTCCCCTATAGCTGCCACACATTTTCTTGTAAATCAGTAACAAGAATTTGGTGTTAGATCAAGATAACTTCTTCTTCATTAGATTGAGTATTCTCATTATCTGTCTGCTGGAGAACGTATGGAAATTATCGGGAGATGCTACATGTTCATCACTTCTACAAGCAAACAGGTTAGGACTACAAGATGGCCCACAATAATTGAAGCTCAGAATTCATATAAAAAAATATATAATTTCAATTCTCTTCCATAGCTTATCAACAACAGTGCTCACAGAATCTTTTCCAAAGCAGTTCTCCTCATGTTTAGCAGTAGAAAAATTATAGGTTCAGACCATGAAATTAACATGTACACACCCTCTAAGTGAATCTCATTGACAAATAAATGGTTCTCACACATTGAATTGTAACAAACTACATGATCTATGTACCAATAATTACCTTGACTGTACACATTTTCCTTGCACATGCAGTGGACCATCAAGGCTGGGCTTTGCGTATTGCCTCCAGAATCTTCTCCATTTTGCTTCCAGAGTCCACATATCCATCACCACCCTAAAAACCAGATTAATACAAACTGCTGTGTTAGTGCAAATCCTGAAAGGGGGCAGTGCACATTTTTAACTTTACATTTTGCTTAAAATTCACTTTGCTTCGTTCAAAACACATTCAATGTGAGGAAAATAAAAAGTACTCTGAAATCACACTGAGGCTACATATTTATTTTATGTCTGTAAGATTGGGAGGATTTACAGTAAACCCTGCCTACTCTAACTCTAACAAAAAATTGTTTGAGTTAGCAGGGGTTTGAGTTAGCTGAAAAATAGGGTCAAGGAAAATCAGATCTTGTTAAGTTACCGGGGGTTTGAGTTAACAAAGTTTTACTGTAGTTTTTAAAGTGATTTGTCTTTACTAGCCTAGAAGAGGTTGTCTCGAAAATTGAAGGAGGTCCATGATGTGAAATTTTGAAGGTTAGGAGTGACAACATTCAAGACTTTCACCTTTTTGGAATGAACAAGTTTACCAGCCACCTCTACTTCCAAATAACCCGTTACTCCTGGTGTTCCATATCCTTCCTGGAAAATGTACACATGTATATTTAATCGAGGTTTAGAGAACTTTTTTCTTATTCTCTCAATTCAACAAACTTCACAGTACATACCACTTCAACCTCTGTGTCATCAAACTCTTCGAGGATCTCTTTTTTGATCTTCTCAAACTGAAGGGAATAAACGAAGTAAGTCCACTTAATACAAAGTATTTCCCTCTTCAAGCAACAACCACTAACATTTAGCACCTGTGGAACTTCATATGCCATACAACTTCCTAATCTTGCTTGGAATTCTTAAAAAATTCAACAGGTGATAGGATTTCTCTACCGGTTTAAAAATCTCTTTTATCCTGTTGTGCAGGGTAAAAGAGATTCAAACTGAATGCAAGCTAATAATTTCATGCAAGGGGGATTTCTTGCCACATGTTACTCATTGAAATAAGAGTGAAAATTAAAACAGATGGCAAACCAATAATAATAACACAAGAAGGTTGCATGCAGTCCATCACTGGCTACTTCTTATTGCTCTAAACTAACTCTCTGATTTACAGGACCCCTAAATTTCAATGATGGCTGGCAGTGCAAAACAATTTGCTTGATTACCCACAAATGTTCTTTCTAGGACATTTTTATTAAATTCATGGAGTTTAAAAACTCAGTGTTGCAGTGTTAACTCAAAAGTTAGCAAACTAGAGCACAAGTAAACTTCATCTTAACCTCCCTGGGCAAGACTTCTGCACAGTGCGAAATTTCAATTTGATTTACAGTTCTTGGATGAAGATGACAATAGCAAAAACAATAGATTGCCTACTGGTACTACAGCACCTTTCCCATTCCTTTCTTACAGGGGTGAGGAGAAATGTTTATATGAGAAATCCTTCCCTTTCCTCCAATACTCATGCAAAGTGAGTTGCCTTACCCCTCCCTCCTAAAGGTTTGTGATCGGGTGGGTGGAGGGGATGGGATTGTTCCTGCTGCAAAATGCAACGCCCCTTGGAAAGCAACTCATTAAAATTCATATTTAGGTACGTAGGAAAGCGGATTGTAAATAAATGGTTCAAATGCTAGTAATATCACGGGTCAATTGTAAAAAAAACTAAAGCAAAAAAAGTTCGTTGTTGATAATCGTTTGCTTTAAAACGGCAAACCGTAAAATTTTTCTGGGATTTGGCCAATACAAATTCAAATCGAGTACTGGGTTTTGCTGCGTCATGCACACTTCTCACTGGTTTGCGAAAACTAGCCATACTTCTGCTCATGTTAATAATCTTGACAAGCTCGCATTAGAAGAATCATACCTTGGGCCTGTACCCTCATCCACCACTGCAAAGGAAACACACAAGTTGTGTGATTATTGAGACTCAGTAAAGGCAGTAAGTTTTCAAGTGATTAGGCAACGAGGTAGACAGTGCGAAAGCAAAATTTTGATGCAAGTCTTGCACGACATGTAACGACAAAGAATCAAGTAAAAGTATGAACAAGTCTGCTTACCAATAGGTGATCATAACCTTTACCGGCATATTGCTGTCGAAAAGTTTTAACGGTCGTAAAAACCTGAAAAATTGCAATACTCTCGCCACGACGTGTTGCGACAAATACCGCCAACGCCTTCACTAATACAATATGTTTCACCCAGAAATGATTGCGGGTAACGAAGGTGTTTCCCTCGGGTACACAGTTAGGCACCTTTTTCCCGTTCGACGTCCTGTAAAACATTTCCGGCAGTTTTTTTTTTTTCTTATTCAAACCTATAAGACATTTTGTCATTAGGTAATTTTCGGGCTATTCACTCATATTTAATGACTATAACTCTTGAGATAAGGGATTATTGAAGCTTTATTTATATCCTCAGCCTCCCCTCCCCTAGAAAACTTTCTATTCTCCCAGAGTGCACCGTAGGTGTATTCTACAAAAAATAAAAGAGCGCGCGCATTTCAAGTGAGTTTCACGGAGGAAATGTTTTCTTAGTCTTCACGATTTCAATATTTTGTTGACTGTTTGATATGAATACTCCGAGTGTAAAAGATCTACCGGATGACGATTCTCCAAATCTCTACGCAGTGTTCAATGTGTGGGAACCGCCCAGACGTTTGAGTCGGTCTACAAGGTAAAGAACGACAATTTTCTTTAAGCGCGCCCTGGAAAACCATGAGTTGATAATGATCTTGAGTTTCTATTACCCAGTTATTCATTTATTCAGTTGTAATTTAGGTCTAAAGAAATCTTGGGTCTTGCAGAAGCTTGTGCAGGTCTTTGTGAAGTGTTTGATCTGCCAAGTATAGCTATTTTGATGAATGGGAATGTTTCTTGTTGGTTTTGAGCAAATTTAATTATTGTTATTGATGATTCGTAAGTTTCCACGCGTTCGATTCCATGATCGCCCCGTTTTACACGCAATGTACATGCTACAGTGTTAATGCTTTATGAGAAAATTGATTAACTTTTCCCGTTGAAACACAAGTGGCAAAACTATTACCTATAATACTTTTATTACAAAGATTCATAATCTTATATACATGCATGTAATTACAGACCAGTTTTGAGTGTAAAAAGCTGCATTAGAGTTCCTTTGTCCTTTTTCTTTTGGAAGAGAAGCCTTTAACGTCATCTATTTCTCATGAGTTATTAAAATCACCTGTTAAGTGAAATCTTTTTAAGTAAGTAATATAATGAATTATTTTCTGTAGATTTCCTCTCTTGTGTAGGGTTCTTTGAACCCTTTAGTGACCAACACAGAATTTCTCCTTACAATATCAGTACAAGATCAAGCAGGCAAGCGATGAAAATAAAGAAATAAAATTAATCAGGAGATTGTTAGTTGATTCAATACCAATTTCTCTGAACTAACATCAGAAGAATTGCAGGGCAGGCAATAATGAGAATTACAAATAAGATCTCGGAGCATAAATAAGTTGTGTTGAAGATGATGATTAAGATAATGACAATAATTATAATTATTAAATACATGAACTATTAAACTTACTTTATTTATGGTAGAATTTTACTACTTCTTGTTTATTTCTTTTCTCTGTCTGCAGTGATAAAGAAAGAGGAGACAACAAAAAATGCTTCCATTGCCGTTTCCCACTACCGCTGCCAGAACAAATCATAATTTTTAGTCTTGGAAAATGGGAAGTGAATTTCAAGGGACAGGAGATAATAGCAGAAGTATCTCTTGAGGCAGAGACTCCACCTCAGAAAATAGGCACACTATCATGCAGGAGTAAAGCACTTTGTTGGGATGAGGGATGGAAGACAAAGTTTTTTAAAAGAAGTGAAGAGCTTACAGAAGAGGTACTACATTTGTATTAGAATATTGCTGTTTTGCCAAGGATTATTCCATCAAGAGATCTGTCCCTAATTTTTCTTTCCCCTTGAAGAGAGAAGAGCATTTGGAGAGGAGGGTGTGAAACCAGCCAGCGTCAAATCTTGTGCTATGTCTCTTTGACTTCCCCTTATTTTTTTAATATTTGCCTCAAATCAAGGCAGACCATTTTTGTTCATGTTTTGCCCTAATTTCATCTTTTGATTTAGAAAAATATTGTATACAAAAAAAACCCAGTCTCATTTTGGCTGTTATTGTGAGTCATTGTGAGTCCTTTGTTGTAACTATAGCAATTGAATTTGAGTCTTGAGCATCCCATTTGTGTTCTGTTCTGCTCTAGCAGTGCCCAGTGGCCTCTGGTACCTTATTTTTGTTCCTGGGCAACCAGGGAATCTTAGTTTATTCATAAAAAGCATATGTTGGGCACCCTGGATTTCACAATTTCAGAGCACTGAGCTCCCTTCAATTTTTCATAAAGCACAGCCTTGTGTTCTCAGAACTGAAATCTAAATTGACTGGATCTTACAAGCTTTCAAAAAAACAAGTTTAGCAATTGTTTATTAAAGACAAAAGTGGGTTGCCCGTGGTGCTCGGGGTTTGTTCAAAATTTACTCTTTACTGCTATTTTATTTTTAGAACATTATAATGCATAACTATGCAATACAGACTAAACTAAAAAAATAATAGCCTTCTACAGTGCAGACCCACATTTATCATAGATTATGAATTGATTTTGATTCTTTATTTTTTAGGGGCGAATGGCTAAGCTGACCCTAAGAACTGTGAATGAAAAATGCAATGATGAAAAAGAAAACAAGAAATTTTGTGAACATGCTGTACTATCACCAACACAGGAAACTCAAAGAGATTCTTCCAAGAGTCCTGTCACACCAGGAAGTTTAAAAAACCTGAAGCAACAAAAGCTCAATTTCAATGAATGTACAAAGATGGAGTATTCTCCTGTGGAACCAAAAGATGTCATTTCATCCCCACCCACTAAGAAACAGAGACAGAGCAATGCTGAAACGTGAGTAGATTCTTAACCCTTTACACCTCAACATCAGTCTGCATATTCTCCATACTGTTCTCTATACATTTCCCAAGGTACTGACAAGGAGAATTAGCATAACAATCTAGAGGTTTTGTAGTTTTTGATCATTTCCATTATTCTCATGACCCTAATTTGTGATTCAGGGAAGATATTGTAAGGAGAAATTAGATGCTAGTCACTCTTAGGTGTTGAAGGGTTAACCCTTTACACCTCAACATCAGTAGGCATACTCTCCATGCGGCTCCCTAAACATTCCCTAAGGTGCTGACAAGGAGAATTTCAAGAGTTTAGCTTCTTTAGTTGGTGATCATTTTAAATATTCCCATGACCTTAATGTGTGATTCAGTGATGATATTGTAAGGAGAAATTAGATGCGAGTCATTCTTAGGGGTCTAAGGGTGAATTTCTCAGAGGTCTGTGCTACATTTTATCAGTTTTGGAAAGTGTGATTAAAGTATAGACATATACGCCCTACTAATTTCTATATGATTAGCTGAATTGCACAAGTTTTTTAATTGGTTCTTGGTTGATCTATTGGAGGACAGATGCATAAATGAGGTCACCATTATCAACATTTTACTTTTTTATCAAATAAATGAACCCCTAAGAGTGACTAACATCTAAT